TCTGCATGGTCTTCAATGTATGCGGTGGAGAAGACCAAGGTCAGTGGCAAGCCGTGACGAAGAACCAACTTGCTCAGCAGCCGTGGTTTTGGTGCCTCGTGCAGACCGCGCAGAACTCTAGCGGGTAAAGCTACGGTTTCAGAAAGCCTTCATGCTATTTTCTACCAGATTTTGTGCCGCCAGTTTGCGATTCGCTGCGAGGCACAGTCTCCAGCAGAGTGTTTGCAGCCACACCGGCAGCCGAAGCGATTCGGCAGCGAAGGAATTTCCCAATACAGGGGGGTAAATCAGATGTGTGTCAGGGCTGTTCTTGGCCCCCGGCAGTTGGCAGTTCGCAAGTCCCTGTTCAGGTCTTCGATTTGTGGAGACGGCTCGGAAACGGAGCTTGAGAAAATCCCAGGCTTGGGCACAAGCATTGTGGACCAGAGCAAGCTTTGGAACGCGGATGACGACGATCGGATAGGGAGAAATGCGGGCCAGGCAACTCCGAAGGAGAAAACGCCAACCCATCAGTCTTGTGGCAAGCCACCCTTGTACAAAAACACCTTCCCAAACCCGCAGTCACCCACGGTCAGCCCGAAGCAGCATTTATCACCGGCGACGGCTGCCACTGGCTCTAGACCAGACTCCCGTGAAACACAAGGGACACCCCCACTTCCCCACAGCATTGGTGATGACGAAGACGTCGTGCCTCACAGCAACGTTGGCGATGTCGAGGATGCCGATCTGGCAGAGCTGGAGAGCGGCTTGGAGTTTGACGTCACTCTGTTGCCGGAGGTGGCGTCAGTGTCGCTGAAGGAGAACCTTGTCCAACATGCCTTTGCTCCAGCGTCACCGGCAAAGGCACCGGCCAGGCAACTTCGGGGATGCTCCGATGCTCGCGAGTGCTTTTCGAGTCGTTTCGAGTCACGCACAAGCACGCGCCGAGTTGCAGTCAGGCCGCAGGCGTTTGGAGCCGGACCTCAGCCGCAGGTGCCACCGGCAGTTGTTACACTATGTGTAGGCTCCTTCTGCAGGGGCCCGCATAGGCCTGCCTCAACTGGAGGGATTCGTTAATCCGGCACGGAGCAAGAGGGCAGAACAGGCCCTCGTGGCAGGGCTGCGCAATCGGGCCGAGCCTGCGCAAGTGTGCTCTCTAAGCACAAATCTTTCCGGCGCTTTGCCAGGTCGGCCGCGATGCTGTAGCTCCCAGTGCCCAGTTGCCAGTGGCACTACGACAGCGCCTCGCAGCAAGGGAGGTGCGATCCGGTGTTTCTGAAACCAAAAGTAATCAGGTTTTCGCTAGTGGAAAGAATACGGCCCGTGATTTCGTGCAGAAGACCGTCCAGACCACGAAAGCCTTCCCATCACGTGCCAACTCGCCCACCTGACAGGAGGGGCTGCGTGAGAAGCGCCAGAATCGCCAGTCCGAGAGATCCGACGAGTCGTGGATGGAAAGGTGGGGTTGGCTCTCAGTATTGTAGTGCCTGTGAGGCCTGTGAGGGCTACAGGCATTTAGACGTATACCCATGTATACCACTTCTCTAGCCGAATGTTTCTGAGTGTGTTTGGCAGGCCTGGCCCGAGGACGCGCAGCCCTCCCGGCCCCGGCCGCCGCAGTGCCTCCGAAGGCCCTTCAGTGCAGCGCGCACAGGCTAGAGGAAGGCCAGCCTCCGTTGGCGCAGCGGGGAGGCGCCAGTGTTTGACCCTTGTTCAAGTCCTGCTGAGCCCTTCTGTAAGCTACGACACGAACAGTGCCCCTCGATCTGCAACCTGGAGGCAGATGTTTGACAAGAATGAGCTGCGCGCTTTTCATCGAGACCTCTTCATGGAGGCAATCGAAAAGTACCAGGCGAAGATTCCCAGACCTGTCCAAGAGCCAGTGGACGGAACGTTGCTTCCAACTGGTCAGAGTCAAAGCTCTGCAAAAGCGAAACCAGTTCAGGTTTATGCACGGAAGCGACCTTTGTTTAGTGAGGAGGTCGCCAAGCGCAATGATTTCGACGTTCTACACATCATCCCCTGCCCTGGGACACCATCACAACTGGTTCTTCATAACTGCTTGTTCCAGGCGGATCTGCGTACCCCTATGGTGCACCACTTGCGCTTTGCCTTTGACCAGGTCTTCTCGCAATTGGCAGAGGATGAGGAGGTATACAAAGTTTGCGCGGCGAATCTCGTATCAGCAGCTCGCAGGGGACAGGCCAGCACTGTGCTGATGTTTGGCCAGACTGGGAGCGGCAAGACGCACACCATGAGAGCCATCGAGACGCTGGCAGCAGGAGATTTATTCCGCGGAGAATCGAAGCTGTCGATCAGCTTTGTGGAACTTCGGGGCTCGCGCTGCTTCGATTTACAGGTTCCAAACTTGCCCGAGCTGAAACTTCGCGAGGTGCGCGAGGCAGCTGGAAATTTCTTTGCAGCCGAAGGTGCAGCTGAGATCTTCCCACAAGACGTCGAAGCAGCATGTGCCGCACTCCAGGCCGCCAGGCAGCGCAGGGCCACGTTCGTCACTGAAGCGAACGACGAGAGCTCTCGAAGCCATGCCGTCTGTACTATAAGAATACTGGACACAGGCGGAAGCTTGACTCTAGTAGATTGTGCTGGAACGGAGCGGCGGAAGGACTCTGCAAATCACTGCCGTGAGCGACAACACGAGGGAGCCGAAATCAATGCGTCCCTGTATGCGCTCAAGGAGTGCATTCGGTTTATGTCTGCGAGGCAGCGCATCCCACCGCATGCCTTCAGAGCTTCAGCGCTCACAAAGCTACTGGCACGATGTTTGTCTCGCTTGAATACGTCTTTCCTTTCCGTCATTTGTACCCTGGCTCCGGCTGCATCAGACACCGAACACACGCTGTCCACGTTGCGAACGGGTGCAGCTCTGAGAGTGAAAGCTGCCTGTGCGACGGAGCGGGAAGTCCTCCCAAGTGTTTCAGTGAAGAATCGAGATCCACAACCTCGGCAGTGGTCTCCACATGAAGTTCGAAATTGGCTCTGCCAGGTCGAGAACGGCATTTTTGCTGCTGCTTGCTTGCATGGAGTCGTCGGTGGCGTGAAGTGCCAGTCCTGGTTCTCTGAAAGGTCAAAGTCAGGGCAATGACATCTGCAATATCTTTGGGCTGTTAATGGTTGCTACTTACTAACTGGTCATAGAAGAAAGAACTTACCAGTATAAGAATGGCCCGGCATGTGAATCAGAGGCTGATTTTGCTTGGGGATTCGTCATTTGGCTCAGTTTGACAGCAGTGTGATTCCTTTCTTCCACCCACGGTAGAAGACTGACCGGCTTGGTGCCGTATCAGACCGTCCTTAGTTCGCAATTTTCTTCAGGACGTGTGCGCAGCGCTCCCAGCGGAGTTCACCGGCCAGATGCTTGCGACAAGCCTGCAAAAGTGTTCTACATCCGGCTAATGCTTTGAGAAGAACAACGAACTCTAATCAACATTGCAGGGGCTTCGTTATTCTGCAAGAAGGTTCCTGCCTTGCTGCGGGAAGTCTGCGAGTTTGGCATCGTTTCCGGGATTGCTGGGAGTGTGTGGCATGAAGATCTTCATTGTCGGCGAGTTTACGCTGAGTTCTTGCGTTGTCCTGCCGTCAGCTGTGCTCAGAATAGCTCAGGTGCGTTTGACGGAAGCCCACTGTGCGCGGCTTTGTGGATCTCCAGTCCGAGGCCGGAACTTCATCCTGCGACGTGACGCGCCGCGCGGGTGTGTGTGTGTGTGTGTGTGTGTGTGTGTTTTTCATGTACTGTAGACTGTAGACAGGATTCGGGTGGGCTTGTGCTTGGGTGTGCTGGGACTCCTGGGAGGCCAGCTGCTCTTCGAGCTGCTGCATGAGTCCATTCGAAATTCAAACCAGCCGCTTTAGCAACAAGAAGTGTCTGTGTCCGTGTCCTCCTGGTTCGTGTGTCATTTGTGCAGCCCAGCTGCAAAGACTAAGGGACTGGTGAGAGCTTCCCGACCCTGCCTCTGTGAGCTGTAGTCTATTTGAAGGCAACGCACACCTTAAGAAGGCCGTTTATCGGATTCCAATGGATGTAGCTTTCATGCGACCCATGCAATGGGTACAGAATTGTTCCTCAATTTACTTGCGTCCTCGGAAGGATGAAGATACTCGTAGGTCTAGAGAGAAGAGATAAGTCGAGACTCAGCTGTGTTTATTTTGCGGCCTCTCGATTTTTGAGTAATCGTTTGCATTTTCGGCTCTGCAGCGAACCGAACTCCTTGTCTATGTGATGCGTGCCAAACTCAGAGACACACACACATTCCAGCAGCCAGCTCCCTTCTGAAGGAACAGTAGTTGGCAAGCAGAGCCTTGAAGCAGTGCCACCGTGTCCGAAATGCGGTGGTTGTCATCACGACCAACATGCGCTGCGCAAAGCCAGTTGCCCAGAATTGCTCACTGCACGCCGGTCATCAGATCGATGCAATTGACAGGTGATAGATGCTAGGTTCATCCTGATCTCTGCCAGGTTTGTGCTGGATGTTTATCGTGCTGCTTGGACCTGGGCCACGCGCCGCAGGCTCCACATACCACTGTACTCACCAGCCGAAACAACAATGATTCGATGCTCGGCTTGCCGGTATTGCAAGCGCGAAAAAGGCGAGTTAGCCTGCGGAGATGATGCTTGTGCAGCCCCAGAGGACAGACTCCAAGTGCTTAGTTGTTCGGGAGTGGAATCAATTCAAACGAGTGCTGTTGCGGAGATCGTGGATTAGGGAAGAGAGTCATAGCGTTTCCAGGGATGCGAAAGCCAGAAGCGCACTAAACTGTAGTGATGCCCGAAAAACAGACCTTGTCCGGGTCATCGCTGGGGAGTCCTGGACCTTGATGGAGCCGTTCCTGGTTGCACTATTGTTTCTCTGCGTTCAACAAGCGTGGCCACCAGGACCCAGATGCTTCGACGCTGGTGCAGCTAGAGCATCTCGTCTGCCTTTACCTCGCTTCTTGAGCTGCCAACTCTGCAGAGTAATCGAGTTGTGTGGGGCGATAGAAGGCATGCGTCCTCGCGAACGGTCATGTTGGGTCTCGGCCTGCAGGCAACAACCGGTCGCGTGTAGTAGTACTGTAGTCAATGGGCACGTGTCAATGAAGACTTTGTCACATCGAGTGTTCGCTGTGAAGGCTGGTGCCCGGGTCAGAAGCCCAACCCTGACACTGGCAGACTTTCAGAAGGAATCAGAGACCTGCTACGAACGAGGCCCAGAGCCTGAGCATAGTTGGGCCGTCGTTGACTCCCATCTGCATGCCCGACCTTTTGGTGGGCCGCCGGTTCCATTTGCGGATCTGCTGGGGAGATTGAGAAGGGCGGGCATCCTCTTCACTACGCTCTATGGCATTGGCCAACGCCTCCCAATAGATTCTGCATGTACCTACTACCTGGACTGTCCAGGAGTCAACATAACACCTAGCTTGAAGAATGATTTCTTCAACGCACAAAGCGTCCTTGACAATGCCAAGATCCTCAGTGATAGCCCCGTTGGCCCTGTGATTACTCTCTCTATGTCGTTCTTCGACCTCCACAATGTAGATGAGATTCTGTACAAGATGAATCTTCTCCAGGGGGAGTTTCCGTCAATGTTCAAGTGGGTCGGCGAGATCAACTTGGTAAAGCAGGCTCTGTGGCCGAATGAGCAAGGCCTCCCTGTGCCCCTCGAGTCGATCAAGACATGGGGCCCGTTCATGGCAGAGCTTCGCAAGCAGGACATCCCTCTGTCATTGCATGCAGACTTGGGAGATGACACAGAGGGCCAGAAGTTCTTGCCCTTGATGGACGAAGTACTGAGACTGTACCCGAAAAACAAGATTATTTGGATGCACCTTGCAGGGCTTTCCCGGCAGCTGGATCCCAAGCTCTCTGCCTCACTCCTCCAGCGGCCCACATCCATTGAGGATCATGTGGAGCTCATCGAAAGCAGGCTGAAGAAGTTTCCGAAGCTAATGATCGACCTTTCCTGGGATGTTCTTTACGACGAGATTTACAATTCTGCAGCCGAGGAGAAGCCTTACATCAAACTAATCAATAACTTCCCGACACGCTTTTTAAGCGGATCGGATCATGTGGCCGCTGCTGTCAAGACAGAGGAGGTGTACAGTGCCGGGCCGAGTGCTTGTGTCATGTGGTGACCATTTGGCCATTAGCTACCGATGTGCCTAAGAGGTTTCAAGTCACTGCTGATATGCTTCCTCAGCTTCCATTTTGTGCCAAGGGCAGGAACTCAACAAAACCAGCGAAATCTACCGGCACTTGAGCGACGACGCCTTTCGTCGCATTGCTCTTGGGCAGAATTTGTTTGATGTGGCAGGCCTGGCGGATGCAATGTCAAAATCAGGATTTTGGAAGACCTTTCACGAGTATGATAGGCTGTGAATGCAAGCCGTGCCCGAAAACTTCGGGAGGTTTGGAGTACACTGCGCCAAAGATCTGCGAGAGCAAGGCAAAGGCCGGTGAAAATCATCCATTGCCATCTTTCCAGCTGCACGTGCCGGGCAGAGTGACTTCATGAGCGCGGCCAATGTGCTCTTGGTAGGCAGCGCTTCCTGCGCAGCAAGCAGCACGGAAAAAGGCCGGGCAGCCTTTGGCAGGATTTCAGCCGCCCGGACCTTGTGTCGAGTTTACCCGGTCAACCCATGCAACTAGAGGGAGCCTATGTTAAGCAGCTTGATATATACAAATCCCAAATGCAGCTGATGAGCAAGTCGATTTCTGCGGTTCTAGGATCTTTCTGCCCTTTAGCCTTCCTGCAAAGAGGCGGCGTTGCCTTCAAAGCACCCCGGCGCCAAGCAGCAGGCGCGTGATCTTCACATGGCTGGTGTTGACAAGGAGCACTCAAAGAAGAGTGGCCAGTGAGGGAGGTGCCACCTATGACTCACGGTTGCAACTCCATGCATAATGTTGCAGCACACGAAATCCGATTACACAACAACACTTCCCGCACACTCCTTTCTTGCTGTTTTCTGGGAGGCGAAGGGCAAGGAAGCCGAGCAATCCGACCACGTCAAGCAGGTTCGGCTCCAGCTGAAAAGTCGTACCTCTCAGGAAAGCTCACGCCCTGGAGCTTGACCGTGTAGGACGGGAATAATCTGCAGTTGATTGAGCTTGGACCTGGCAGGTTCAGCGAGCTGAAACAGCAAGGTTGTTGCAGACATCTCCGTCTGTGTCCCTCAAAGATTTCACAGAACACTCCACGACCTGCTACGACCGAGTCGCGACCGACGAATGGCCAGTTGTTGACGCACATCTACATGCACGGCCTTTCGGGGGTCCGCCTGTTCCTTTCGACCAGTTGATTGAGAGGCTAAGGCGTGCCGGCATCCTCTTTGCCAACCTTTATGGCATCGGTCAGCGCCTTCCGATATCGTCTAATTGCACCTACTACCTCGACTGTCCGGGCACCCCGATCCGGCCGAGTTTGAAGAACGACTTCTTCAATGCTCAAAGTATCCTGGACAACTACGACACGCTCTCGTCCAACCCGCTTGGGCCTGTGCTCACACCGTCCATATCTTTCTTCGACTTGCATGCGGATGCCGCGGACAACCTGAAGAAGCTGAAACTGCTTCAGCAGGAGTTTCCCGGCATGTTCCGCTGGGCTGGGGAGATCAATGTCGTGAAGCAGGCACTTTGGAAGAACGACCAAGGCCTGCCTGTCGATGTGAGTTCTATCAAGTCTTGGAAGCCTCTTATGGACGAGTTGCAGAGACAAGACATCCCGATGGCACTGCACAGTGATTTGGGGAACCAGTCCAGTGGGCTCATGTTCCTGAACTTGATGGACGAGATTCTCAAGTTGTACCCAAAGAACAAAATCGTGTGGGTCCACATGGCGGGGCTGTCAAAGCAGCTTGACCCAAAGCTTGCACTGATCCAGTTGCCACTCTTGGCCCCGCTGACCATTCAGCACCATGTGCAGCTCATTGAAGACCGGTTAGACAAACACCCGAACCTGTTCATTGACTTATCTTGGGATGTTCTCTATGACGAAATCTACGACAACGCCTCGGAGGAGCCATAAGTCGCGACCAGCTTGGTTTCGAATTCGTGCTCCTCAGAGCTAATCCATGCCAGGAGCGGCGGTACGTCGATTTGCTGAATGCCTACCCCACCAGGCATCTCGGGAACGCAAAGAGCACTCGAATTGCAGTTTGACTGCGCACGAAGGGTGTGACGCAGGTTCTTGAGCGGCACCGACCACGTGGCAGCAGCTTCTAAGCCGGAAGCTGCATATCGACGCAGCCTCGGTCTCTTTGGCACTTCGCGCTGCTGTGCTCTTCACCCAATGCCGCTAAAACCCTCCAAGGAGACGAGCTGGCCAAGACGAGCGTGATCTACCGCGAGCTCACTGACGAAGCCTTCAGGAGGGCTTGGGGATCTTGATCGGGAATACCTCAAAAAGCACTTAGGGGTTGGAGGGGTGTTGGTTTCCTTGATGGCCGGGGGGGGTCTCCCCCCCAAGGGCTTGTCCGACTTCCTGTCACATTCAGCAAACCTCCGCTGGCTTGTTCGGCTGTCCTTGCCCAAGGCCCATGGACCATCTCAGCACATGCAGCTTTCACTGCGAGCCAACGGATTCTCCGACAGACTTAAATGCAGCTTCCCCCGCATACCCGGCTCGAAACCACACCTCGCAAATTTACAACGAAGGAACACATAGGACATAGGAAGAGGTGAGAAAACAGACAGAGAGAGACACCGAGAGACGGTTGGATGCTTGTGGCAACGTCCGTGACTTTAGAAGCTAGGCCGTTTAGATCTGAGAGTTTTTCAATGCAAGCCTGTGCTGAAAAAGAGTCTTTTAGTTTAGGGTTTAGGCCTCGTTCTGTGGAGCTGGCCTGGCTTCTGCTTGTCTTTGAAGGGTTTCTGGATGCGCCACGTGGGCCGTAGCCTCGAAAAGACGCCCGAGGAGCTCAGAAAGCGTTTGGGGTTTAGGGCGAAGTGGCCTAGCGTGACGTTGCAAGCCAGTCGCAAAAAGGGCGAAGTGGAAGGCCTGCTGCAAAAGGGTGGGATTGCTGGCCGGCACCCCAGTGCTGAAAAGGGTGGGATAGCGCTTTCGCTTTTTTGAGGGCACCAGATAAAGTGAAACCGTCCGAACTGAGAGCAGGCCTGCGGTAGGGTCTAGGGGTTGGGGCCTTAGGGTTAAGACTTCTGCTTTAAGGGATAATGGGTTGAGAGGTTTAGGGGTCCAGGCGTTCAAGGGTTTAGGGTTTCTGAGTTCAGGGTTTCCGGATGCAAAAGGGTTTCTGGGCCTCTGGGTTCAGGGTATCTGGGTTTAGGGTTTCTGGGTTTAGGGTTTCTGAGCTGGAAGTCAGTGTTCAGGCGATTGCACAAGTCCTGATGCAAAAAGGGTTTCTGAGCTTGGGGGTTCAGGGGTTCTGGGTTCAGGGTCTCTGGGTTTAGAGTCTGTGAGTCCAGGATTTCTGGATGTTTCTGGGTTTAAGGGTTTAGGGCTTCTGGTTTCAGGGGCTCTGGGTTTGGGGTTTCTGGGTTTAGGGTTTCAGAGTTTTGCGTCTCAGCAGAGGCTTTGCAGGCTGGATGCCAAAACGGGTTTTTGCGTTTCTGGGTAGTTTAGGGTTTCTGGGCTTGGGCGTTTAGGGTTTCTGGGTTTCAGGGGTTCTGGGTTCAAAGGTGCTGGGGTTCTGGAAATTTTCTGGAAAAAAGTTCTGGGTCTGGACGCACCCCAAAATGCACCTCAACTGGATGCCCCGAACATATCCAAAACACAATTGAAAAGCCCAAAAGCCCATTTTCAAAATACTGCATTTCCAGAGTTAGCCGGTTTCAGCTTCTCACAAGGCTAAAAGTTTTTCAGTATTTGAAACACTTCGTTTACGTGTGATTTCTTTTTGTGCTTGAACACCTGCTGTTTCAGAATTTTTGTGTAGGTAAAGCAAACAACAGGCTATGTCCATTCACATCGCCGTAATGCGAGGTGCTTGACGATAAAACTGAACGTCGTGGGCAGCCACTTGAAAGAACGTGCATGCCACCATGAGCTGTTTTAAGCACTGTTCGATACCTGCCTGGCGGTAGGTCCGCCCCTACCTTGCCTCAAGGCTTTCCGTTTTGGACGGGGCGCCGGAGGTTCTTGGGAGACCGACGGAGCGATGCCTTTCCGTGTAGAGCCTGTCCGCAGAGGGTCACGCCATCTCTAATGATGCCAAGTTGATTTCCGGAGCGGACTCAACCAAAAGCACTTGGGAGGGGGTACCCCCGCGAGGATCCCCCCTGGACATGTATGGCGATGTTTTTGATGTGTTGTGGTATGCTGACGGATGTCCGATTTCCGCTGAGACGCAGGAACATAGCACTTGGAGGGACTTACTTCCGCCTCGCACATTTGCCGCAGCTGGGATGCAAGAAGCTGCGTGTCATACGCTTGCTAATCAGTTTGACCTCCAACCGTCCCACTGTGCCTGGCACATCCTCTGCTTTGACAAGTGCAGGGAAGTTTTGAGACCGCAAGAGCTGCTGAGCATACTGTTGGTATGCAGCACCAGCAAGCGGCAAGAAGACTTGCAAAGTGTCTGCGGCAGCCTGCAGCAGGCGCACCTTGGATTGCCAGCGAAGGTTGCAAGTAAGCCCTGGCGAAAGTCAGGTATCGACCGCCGCCCATTTGTGGCAGGGCGCTCGGTTCCAGTCTGGCTTGCAGACGGGGGGCAAAGCGTGTTGCGTGTAGTTCCGTCATGCTTGGGACGGAGACAGCCCACCGCATGTGGAGACATGCACTATGTAGGCCTGGCGAAGCGGCGAGGCAGGCATAGCTGTAGAGCTCTGCTTCAATAAAAAGGCGAAGCGGCGAGAGTCGAAGTACTTGTAGGAGTAGGAGGCTAGGACGGCTAGGACTGTAGGCGCCTATGTTGGACCGAGGCCTGGCTGCAAGTGCAGTACCTGGACTGCTCGTGGCTATGGCGCTTCTGCAGGCAGGGTCCATGCGCCGCCCCCGGAGTGGACATCTTCCTTGGTGTGCTTTGTGCCAGGCAGCTACCTGGTTCTGAGAGGAAAAGGCTTCGTTCAAGCTTGGTAACTTTTGTGGCCAGCGCACACCCTTGTTAATGCATGGTCTGGGCACCGGACTGTGCAATGTTGCAGTCCCGCCCGAAGCTTGACTTGCACCCGGCACTTGCTCCATGTGCAACGAGAAGAGGCTTGAACAGTGACCACCTGTGTCGTGCATCTGAAATGGGTTATCTGAAGCCAACACTGGCCTAACACTCAACACTGATGGAAGGGTTGTGGCTCGAAGTAGAGCGTGGGGAGTGGAATCTCCGCAGACCCGGCTTGTCGCGCTTGGAGCTTAGACTCTTAGACTCTGCTTGACTACACATCTCGGGTGTGCGGTCTGGCCACGAGCCATGACGCTTCGTGCAGGCTTGTCAGTGTCCTGACATGGGGGACTTCGTGTACCCTAGGCATGGCTGCATCCAGGACGGAGCTGAAGGGCACACAGTGCTGCGCACCAAGAGTTGCAACAATTGCAGATATTGCAGTCGTCGTTCCTGGAAGGAGCTAATGCTGAAGGAGGCGGCCTGGACGGCGAAGTTTATCCGCCGCCAGCGCGAGGAGGAGGCAGAGGCAGGCTCCACAGCTCCACAGCTCCACGCAGCATAGTACAGCGTAGCGCACTGCATCGGCTGCTGCAAGCGATCAGCCTCCGTTTTGGAAGGAACGGGCTTTGCAGCAGCAGCGCTCGAAGTGGGAGCAGCAGGCTGAGGAGAGCGGCGCAGCGGCGCAATTTTTTAAGCTTCGCTACGTGCACTCTTGTGATAGAGGACACCATCGTGAAGTTCCTGAACTCTCCGAGCACGACGCTTCCAAAGGCCGAGCTGTGATGGCTGTGATGTCTTTTTCTTTCCTCTCGCTGACAGAAGGCCAAACGCGTCGCTACGCCTGCAGCTGAGCCTGCTCCTTAGGGGGAATGCCTGGCTGGGCCGGCTGGAAGCTGGGGATGAGCTCTGAGATGCCGCAGACCGCAGAGCATAAACTTTGCAGGCTGAAGTTTTGCATTCCCCCTGGCCGAGGGGACACGCCGGCGCCAGCAAATAAGACGCGATTCCTGGTAGGGTCCTCAGCGGCAGTGCATGCGGAATTGCCGTCCAATCGAACATTGCCCGAGGATCTGCAAAGCTGATGCTGTGGCCGGCTAAGCCGGTGAAAGGTCGAGCTTGCAAGTGCTTTGTCGCTGTCTGACCCCAGCTTTTATCCGTAGCTGTGCTGTACCGGTATCTTTTGCAACCATCCGGCAGTCGTTCTAGTGAACCTGCACGGGAGAAAGACAAGTCTTTTGCAGTTCTAGTGTTATCGTGTTATCGAACCGATACAAGTTGACCCTGGATTGATATCGCAGTCGCCGGGAGGCCGGCTTTTCTGAGACAAGCAAACTTCCGAATAAATCTATCCGACCCTGCCTCGCCGCCTGCCTGTTCCAGATTCCTGGCCTAGGCGGTGATGTTTGCACATGTTGCCCCATCACTTCTGGAAGCTGTTTGGACTCGAGTCCGCATTATTGCCGACCGTCGAGATAGAACAGCAATGGCCGACGAAGAGGAAGCTGAAGAGGAGCCGAGCAAGCTTAAAACATTCTAACCTGTGTGATGCTTGAGCAGGGCGTTTTTGATTTGACGTTGTCGCACACAACGCCCAGTCTCGCAAGTTGCGTGTCATTCAGAGAGAGTCGTAAGCGGAACAAGCTGCTAGGCGTAAAGATTGCAGCATCAGATTGTCCACCGTCGCCGTCCATCTGCTCAGACTCTTGAGGGTTTTGCCAGAAGCACTACGCGTGCGACGGCGAAATCATAACGAGTGGAGCCATGGGCAGAGAACTTGGCTTGTTGATGGCTGGACCATTCATGTCGTTGATGGCGACTACTTCTCTGCAGCTGGCGGCTGCGCAGTTTGCGCATTGGCCACAGACAAGCGGAGGTTCTGTGATAGGAATCACCCTGCCGGCAAGTGCAGGGGGGGCAGAAGTCGACCAGTTTCTCGGCGTCCCGTTTGCAAGGGCGGAGCGTTTTCAGCCCCCCGTGGATTTTCACGAGACATACCCAGGAGGCAGTGTGACGGCAACCATGTGGGGTCCGGCCTGCATGCAGGTAGGAGGGGATCCCACGCAGACTTACGGCAGCGAGGACTGCCTGAAGGCCAACGTGTGGAGCCCACGCCTTGCTTGGCAGACACAGAAGAAGCTGCCGGTCATGGTGTTCATCTACGGTGGTTCCAATCAATTCGGGGAGGCGGAGCCCTACAACATGACTCTTGGACGGTTGCAGTCCGAAGCTAAAGCCCCGTCATAGCCGAACCAGAGAGGTGAGAGAGACGTGAGAGACCGGCTTCTGTGGTTCAATTCAAACTCAAGGAGTGCTCTGGCCGCTTTTCACGATGTGGTTTGTGTCTCGTTCAATTACCGCACCGGGCCGCTGGGCTGGATGGCCTTCCGCGAAGACGTGGATGCAAAGCGGTCTACGGGCAATTGGGGCATCCTTGACATTCAGAGTGCCTTGGCGGCAGAGCCGAAGTTGTTGGACAGCTTCCTTGGATTCACTTTCTGGCTGCTTGCCATCTTTCATTTCTGGTCACTCCCTGGGCTCATGGCTGTCCCGCAAGGTGCTCTGCGCTGGGTGCGGAAGGAGGTCGCCGCCTTCGGCGGTGATGCTTCGCGTGTGGCCATCCACGGACAGAGCTCCGGGGCAGGTGCGACGAGTGTGAACACATCGCAGCGACGCAGCGCTTCTGGACGCTTTCAGCACTTGAGGTCTCGTGGAGCTGCAGTACGTCTCGCCTCAGTCATCTGGACTCTTCCAGGGTGCTATCAGCGAATCAGGTGGGCTGTCGAGTGCATGAGGATCTAGTTCCAAACAATCACAAATGGGAGGTAGCCTCAGTGCTATGAACCTATCCTTGGCCTTGGCAAGCGCAACGAAGATCGCAGCCAGCATGGGCTGTGCCACGGCCACCCTGAAGGCATGGCTCAGTTACACGTGTACTGACGTAACCTCGTTGTGTGCCTGCTTGCGCAGATCCGCAGGTAAACAAGACGTGCCTTGCTCGGGCAGCTCGACTCATGAAGCACACTGCTGTCATGTTGAATGTGTCTCCGCGACCGGGTGTACACGAAGCATGCTCAAGCAATGTCACCGAGCTTGGCATCAAGGTTCCAGCGCTCAATCTCACCATGACCACTTACTCGGCACCATGGTCGCCTGTGACGGATGGCGTTACCTTTCCATTGGCGCCCCAGGACTTCAAGTTGAAGAGAGAGGAAGCTTAAATGATAGGCCTGCGCCGACGAAGCACCAGAGGGTGTAGCGAGACTGTTGTGTTGGTAAGCGGGATAGGTGTCAAATTTCTTTCATTTTCCTGAATTTCAGGAGTTGCTTCGTTTGGGGCGCGTCAACCCAGCAACCGTTGTCTTGGGGGCGCAGACGAACGACAGCAACTTGTTTCTCTTCCGGGAGCATACGCAGGACACCTCCGTCAGATGTAACATCTGACTAGCAGACCTCCCTGCATTGCACGAGACTGTTTCCACGCAAACCTACTTGCTGCTGTCCGGGTATGTTAATGTGTTGGTAGTATGATGGTGGACCCTTGGAGAAAAACAGGACGGCTTGGATCAGCCGAATGACCGGCCTGATGGCGCATTGAAGCCAATATCGGACAAGCAGTACGGTGCCTCGACATGTCACGGGGCGGGGTGTTGTGCATATGTCTAAATAAACAAGTAGGCAAACAGAGCAATAGACATAATACATGTATTCATGACATACGTATATACTCGCACATGGTCACAGATAGACATATCCATGTATCCGTCCATCTGTCTATCTATCTATCTATCTATCTATCCATCTGTCGGCTCATTTGCCTACCTGTTTATCTTTTTATCTATCCATCTATCTTGCTATGCGTCCATGTATCCACTTATGGATCTATTCACATATATGCATGTATTCACATCTATATAGGTATTTCTATATACTTACGCAGTCTTACCCATCCATCCAGCCAGCCATCCATCCGTCCACGAATCCGTCCATCCATCCATCCTTCCATCCAGCTCGCTCTCGCTCTCGCTCTCGCGCTCGCTCTCGCTCTCGCTCTCGCTCTCGCTCTCGCTCACTCTCTCTCTCTCTCTCTCTCTCTCTCTCCCTCTCGCTCTCTGTCTTGCTCTCGCTCCCTCTCGCTCTCTCGCTCTCTCTGTCTAACACACACACACACACACACTCTCTCTCTCTCTGTCTCTCTTTCTCTCTCTCTCTCTCTCTTTCTCTGTCTCTTCGTGCAAGCACACACGCGCTCGCACTTCCTGCGGACGTTCCAGGGGCATGGCTCAATATACCTACTTTCCGATGCGGAACCGACATGCTCTCAGACTCTATTCAAGTACTCTATTCACAATGTGCAAACAGCTTCACGGGGACATGCTGTGTAAGTTGGTGCCGTGGAAATGGGTGGCTGACCAGTTGTGGCCGAAGAGTTGTGAATGAAGGCACAAAGAAGCTTGTAGTCAATCTTTGCAACAGCGAGGATGCTGTCTGGATGAATGAAGCTTCAAATTTGTTAAGAACAGCATGCACAAATCTTGACGAGTAGGCTGGCAGACCCAAGGCCGCGCTTCCACCTGAAACTGAATGCCTAGTACAAGGCGAATGTTGGCCAACAGATACGAAGCCCTGAAGCCTTCGAGTGGTTTAAGACACTAGTATGTGCATGCCAAGACGGGAGTCATCTGATTCGCCATGTCTGCCGAGGCCTTCAGCTAGTTATGCGCGTGGGCCCGCGCCTTTTGGGCAAGGCCTTTCAGGGGCGAAGCTACGTTCTCCAATGTGCGAAAGCTGGAAACATCTTGAGAGCATGCATCGTTCTTCGAAAATAGAGGAGGGAGGGAGAGATAGAGACAGAGAGCGAGAGAGATCACGGAGCACTGGCACAAGCAACACTCCACCAAACCAGTAGGCGAGCAAAGTAGCAAAACGAGAGAGGGCAGCGGAACAGCCCACCTGGCCAGTAAAAGGCACCGAGTGCTTCTGAGTAGCGGGGAATCGTTAGTTCCGGGGCCTCGAACTATGCTGCTGTGAGACCCCTAAGACTGGCCAGAGCGCAACCAGCCTTTGGAATACTCACAGCAAGCCAGCACGGACACAAGCGTGATCAGCAAGGCCGGGGAGGGGTAGCATGCGAAGAACACGGGCATTGTTCCAAAACAGGAATAGACGGCCAAGCTGACGCGCTGGTACACCACAGTTTCACGCAGAGGCGTAGCACTCACGCGCAGGGGTTGTAGGGCCGTCCCTGCACCCCCAAACGCCCGGCAAGCAAGCAAGCAAGAGATCACGGACTCAACAGCGGAGCCTTTTCAATGTGAGTTAAATGTCCCACACGAACAACCGTGAACTTGCGCAGTCGTGGAGGGACACAGCTTGAATTGCTGGAGCAGCCCGCATTTTCCGCGGTGTGTATGCAACCTCTTCGCACTCACAGTTGCCGGGGCGCACATAGCCGCCCGCGTTGAACCGGGAAACCCCTTCACCATAGCCCTGGCGAAACAGACAGCGAGAGAGAGAGAGAGAGAGACCCACCACCGCCCAACGCCTTCGAAATCGCAGCACTGGTGGGGGGGGTGATGGATGAGGCCCCGAACGCACCCACTACCGGGGAACTCCTGGAAATCCTGGACCTGGTCCAGGCGGGGGCGGCGTTACTACAAGGGGCCAAAACGAGCCACAACTGGCAACAGACTCACTGGGCGGAGGATGCCGCAGAAGAAGCGGAGGCTTTGCTGCACACCCTGATCACCACCATGGAACCAGCAGAGAGAAAAGCAGCCTCGCCACTCTCCGGAACCTACAGGATGAAGCGGCCAAGGGGGTGGCAGTGCTGGTGGGGGAATACCCGTTCCGTGGCGGCGCAGACCAGCTGGGCAACCCACACACCCACTCCAGGCGGGGGGAGGAGGCGACGGCAAGGAGGGGGGTCGACCCACCAGACCCAGCAGATTTCGCAGCCAAGGCGAGGCTCAGAAGGTTTGGGCCCTTGGTGAGAGACGTACAACGCGAAGTGGAACGGGCCCTGCAAGAGCTGGTCACTTGGACGGTGCAGCACTGGGGGGAGGAAGTGGAGTTGGTGGGGGAAAACGACCTAGAGGGGCTGCACATGACGCACCCGGACGCTTTTGGCCACGCCGACAACTCCGAGCTCCAGGGGGCCGTGGCGGCCAGTGCTTCGAGGGGGCCTACCAGATTCGCCGCAAGCCCCTCTGACAGACCTACACCTGAGTGGGGAGAGCGTAGGCGCAGCTTTACCAATCCCAGCTCCCTGGATCAAGACGACTAGTGTGAGTCCCTACGACTAGCCGGAGTCCTCTGTAGCGCGTGACCGGTGGTAAACTTAACTAGCTGCAATGCTTTGGGGACCGCAAAGCTGGGGGGGGAATCCTTCCGCAGGAGCATGGCACAAACAAGTCGAGGTGTAGACGTTGTAGTGTGTTGAAGGGGTCTGCTTGTTACGTCGTCTTGCCACTGCTTGGAAGGGGAACGAGGGGACAGCCAGGTTCAGGGAGGGGGAGGGTGGGCAGGTACAGGCAGTGCAGTTGCGCAAGGTTCTGTTCGGGATCAGGTGGGGAGGCAGGCCAGGTGGGTTTGTACAGAAAGCAAAGGGTGGAGCCCGCCTGAAGAGCAATGCACGTGGCAACAAGCCAAAAAATCCGTTGGGGGTTAGTACGACGGAGCGCCCAGAAGCCCTGCTGATTGGTTGTGGGTTGTAGTCCAACGGTTTGTTTTGGCCAAATGCAGGGAAAGGGCACCGTCCACCGCGCTCGTCCTCACCATCCCCGGAAGGGGCCGAACTGACCTTGGACGTTGCGCGCCGCGAGGGGGTAGGCCTTCGGGCCAAGGGGTTGCGTGCAGCCCCTAGACCCCTTAGCAAGCAAGCAAGAGAGAGAGAGAGAGAGAGAGAGAGAGAAAGAGGGGAGAGAGCGCGAGCGAGAGATGATGTTCAAAAGTAGTTAGGCTGTCATGACAGGCTCTCAGCTTGTACCCGCCTGTCCCGGGCAGCAGCATCTTGCTCCTCGGATGTATGACGTATGATTTTGCACGGGTTCAGAGGGACCCCTTTGTACCGGTGCGATGACACCAAGGAATGTGCATCAGCTCGGGAACGTGGAGTCAGACCAGAGCCATTGCCAGATTCGACAGCGGGCCTCCTTGTTCAATAAGGCCAGGCCTGGACGAGCCTTTACCTACCGCTTCGACTATTGGTCCGCGACTCAGTTGTCGGCTTCACGGTGGCTGGTCTTCGACGGCAGTACAGAGTGCAAAGGTACACCGGCAACCCGAATTGCACTGCTGTCCCGAACTACCATCTGCCATACCTGGGTGCTGCCCACCAAGACGAAGTGACTTTTGTATTGGGCCAACCAAACTTCATGGAGGATGGCAGCTGCTGCGGCCTCTGGGGCCTTACCACACCCGACTGCCCGCACCTCACTCGCTGCGAGGCATGCTATGCCCCAAACCGATTCGGCCATGAAGGATATCGCGCCTACTTCAACGACGAGGAGTACCCAGACAGCACTTAGTCCTGGAGGCATCATGCCATTTCCAAGTGTTGGTCCGCACAGCAACACCCTTCTGTGCCAGCATCTGCCTCCATGTGACCTTCACGTAGTATTTCCTCAACCTCAGTGCGGTACGCATCTAAGATGTCTGTCCATTGCACAAGGTGGGACTTTGCCCGAACCGTGGGCACCTTTTGGACCAATGTTGCGGCCAGCGGCGACCCTAACTGCAGGGACAAGTGTGGCACGCAAGGCTCCTGGCCGAAATTTCCAGCAGGAGGCGACGTGACTCAGACCCTCGCCCTGTTTACAGCTAAGCAAACGTCTTATGAAGATTCGCTGGGAGAGAGGTAGAAGGACTTACACTTCCTTTACTGACTGTGTAAGCCTGACCTTTTGACCTCAGCTAGGAACATCGTGCTCAATGCCTCACTGCCTGGTGGCTCGATGGCCGAAGAGACCCCACATGGCCGTCCAGAGATCTGCGCCTTTTGGGATGCAGTCGCGGCTGACGCAGCGACCGAGCATTCAGAGCCCTTGTACGCTTGAGCCGTGCTTGAGCCGTGCTGCGTGCACAGCGTGTGCCCCCCGGGCCCTGGGATTTCCTGTACAAGCTTTCTCAGGGCTGCTTGGGCTCAGAGTCAGAGCCTCCCTCTCAGGGATCCGCGGCATTTGGGGCATCCTCCACCATCCAAAAGCCTGTTGCAATCTTCGTACAGACTTCCTGAAGGCGCCATTCAGCCCAATGGAAGAAGCCTGGAATCCTCCGACCCCTCCCAGTTCGCTTCAGGCAGAAAATGTTGTGACATAGTGGCATGCGACATCCGTGCTGTTGTCATGCGTGCTAAAGTCTGAATGAGCCCGAAGCCTCAGGACCTGAGAGCCTGTGAGTACATTTATAGGCTGAGGGGCTGAGCTGATACTTGGTACACCTGCAGGAGAGGAAAGCGCTGTACGTTTCACCCTTGGCTGACCCTCTGATTACAGAAACTCGGCAACAAGATGCCCAATGTCCGTTCCAGCCACGAGTCAGATAAAGGGCAGAGGCTACAAGACGATTGTGGAGGGCATGTCCTGGTAAGTACAGCTGCATTTTAAATAACGAAGACAAAAGCCCAGGATAAGCTTCTGGATCGATCTTTGAAGCTGCTGAAGAAAGCGGTCTCCGAGAAGCAGACCAGGCAGATGCAAGAGCCAGTGATCTACAGACTCCTATTGCGATGCCTTTCGCCGCTGCCGTTCAAGCCGAGTGGAACAGGAACTTTCAAAATGGCAGCTGATCTTCCGAGGCGTGGAGTCCCCGAGGTCACCAAAGCCATTCGCAAAGGCCAAAAGGGAGTTTGTTTCTTAGTGCCTGCCTGAGCTGCTAGCTTTGAGGCAATGTTCATGGAATCATGCTCCCAGCTTCCTAGACTCAGCGCAGTTCATGCTGACAGCAACTGCGCGGACTCAGGCTGCCGACATCTTTCCGATGGTGGCTTGGCTGCGCAGGTGGTTCTAGAGCTTCTCGGTGATGCATGGTCTTTCTCGCCCAGGATGTGTTCGCCCATGTACCCTTGCTGGCCGAGGACCGCGCTCGACTTAGGGCCAGCAAGGAAACTGCAAACTCTATCATTGAAGTTACTGTGCATGTTTAATCCCGGAGAAAGCTGAGACATGCTGAGACCGCCGAGCAATTTGGAAGTTTGATCCATCAACCCATCAAGTCAGCTGAAAACCTTTGAAGGAGAAAGGTGTGCACTACTGTTACGTCTCTTCGCGACATCAACTCGGTGCTGCTTGCCAGACACGACGGCCCATTAGCTTGGTGCCTCTGCCACAAGGATAATGGCGCTTGTCGGGTTTGATGAGGGGCTATGGTGACGAGCAAGTCTCGGTCATGAGTATCGAAGCTTAGGGCCTCGCAGTGCCTGTGCATTCAAAGGTCATGGTTCTGGAGCCCAAAAGCGACGCCACTTACAGCAAGACCTACGAGCAGGTGCTGAGTTTTGGCATAACGAGAGAGAGAGATCGTAACGTGGTCCATCTACGTGCACTTGGCGACTGCAGAGCGCCAAGGAATGGAATCAAAGCGATTCATCCTTACATGTGAGCCTGTTCCTCTCGATATGCGAGTACTGATCCGAAGCCTGTGCCTTGCCTCCGTCTCGTGTGACAGCGACAGCGAACCAGACAGGGAAAACAACCGCGTCGCATAGCGCTGGACGGGAAGGATGAAGACTTCGAATAGTGATGCTCAGTCTTGCAGGGTTACTCGTGGGGTGTTTCTTGCCCAGTTGCGGCGTGGTGAGGCGGCATCCGATTGAATGATCTCCCAAGCTTGCCGCTTGCTGCCTCTTGCTGCCTCTTCCACGTCAAGCATTCAAGGCTCGCTGTGCCAGGCTGCGTGCCCGAAGGGCACGTGCCTGAGCCATGGGCGAGCCCGGTGGTGTTTGGCTGCCGTTATGGGATGCGGTGGCAGTGCCTGGAGAGGCCCGTGTAGTCTCCTGAAAGCTCTTGCGACTCCCACTTCACGCAAAGAGGGAGAGGAGGGACTCCTTAGCTGAGATAAAAGGAGGTGATCGATCTGACAGGAGAGAATGTAACAGGGAAAGAGGGAGAAGAAGGAACGGGTCGGCTTGAAGCCCCGGGGACTGGACCGTCCCCATGGCCCTAGACCCTTAGCAAGCAAACAATCAAGAAACCGTGGTCATGGTCAGGGTCTTAGGAGGGTGTTTTGGGGGGACGGTGTATAAGCTTAGGTGGGGGAACGAGCCTTTCTCTCACCCCAGAAGGGGCCAATCGAGCTGCGAGATTTGCAGACCGTTGTGGGGGTAGGCCTTCGGGCCAGGGTCCTTTTGGGGAGCTCGGGGTAGCAAATACGGACACCTCGCCGAAGACAGTACAGCAACTGTGGAATAAACAGCAACAGCACGGACACCAGACATGATCAGCTAGGCGGGGAAGCATGTTACAGAGTACTAGGCTGGTGAGTGAGTCGGGGAGCCTTGCTGGTCGACAGGCGTAGCACTGTGCGCAGGGGTTGTAGGGGTCGCACCCTACCGCCCCAAACGCCCTGTAAGCAAGCAAGCAAGCCAGAGAGAGAGAGAGAGAGAGCAAAGCAAAACAAAGGGGGGAAAAAAGAGGGTGTGGTGCATCTGTCGTAGCCAACCCGCGAACACAGCACCGAACAGCCTTGACGGGGGCGGACGATTTTTGCCTCTGTGCCGGGGGGGGGGTCGGGGCTCACTCCGGTTTTTGAGGCCTGCAGAAAAAAGACAAAGGCGGCACTACCTTCAGCTTTGCTGACCGGATTCAGTCAGTGACGTCAGAGTAGAGCGTGCAGGGAGGGTGTGGCACTCGAGCAGGAGAGACAGTGACTAGCTGGAGATAATGCTTAGATCCGCCAACCTGCAACGTGCAATGCATGAAGAGACCAGCTTGTGGGGCGCCGACGTGCGGTCGTTGAGTAGTGGGTATGTTCGCAGCAGCTCGTTCCGGAAGTCGTGCTGACACGACGCTGACTTGGCAGCCTAAGTGCTCACAGGCGCAGGGTTCATCAGCATTGGAGTCACGACAGCTCGCAACCGCACCGAAAAGGCTAGAGTGAGTCTCATTCCTTCGGCTGAGCGGAAGAAGAGAGGACGAGGGAGGGGGGAGGAATTGGAGGAGATGCGAATGACGTGGTGTTACCTTTTTCCGGTTGGGGGTTTCATGCAGACTTATCCTGCTCTCGGCTCTTGCATGCAGGCCACCAGGATGCTCCGAGTTGCTGCGGACAGGGACGGTCCTGCAGCACGTGCCACGCTGTCTGCACATTGCACAAACGAGGGCTCTTCGAGGCTACAGAATGCTCCTTGTGCGCGACTTCCTCTATGAGCTTCAGCTGGACTTGTGTGCACAAGTGCCTTGGAGAGACATCGAGCAAATTTGCCACAGGCAAAAGCTAGTCCCACGGTCCAGAAGGTTTCTTTTCGACCTTACAGGCGTCGATATTTATTGCTTGGTCCGGCAGGTGCGGCTTCCAGGTTTGTTTGCCATGTGAACTTAGCATCGCCATGGAGGGGGACAGCGTGGAACGACTGCAGATGGCTGTGCATGCAGTCGAGCACCACGAAGCAAGGCCCAACCCATTCCGGTAACCTTGGTAAACAGGGGCATGAGCGGAGCACTCGGCAACGAGGTTTTCGTTGCAAAAGCTGATTGGAAGTTGGTGACCTTGGCCCCTGCAGGGATTGCGGGTTGGCAGCGGCATCGCTTCAGCTGCAGCTTTGCGAACGGCTCGATGTCGCTTGCGGCCTCACCTCCTTCCAGCAGCTGGAGGAAGCCATCTCTGCTGCCGAAGGGCGAGAAGCTTTGATGGCCCAAAGCTCGGATAAAGATATTGCCAAGCTGCTTCTGGATGTTCAGATGCTGTGCGACGAAGTTAGGTCCGGTCGCGTGTGCAGCTTCTGCTTCAGCGGCTGGACCTCCTCGCGGACATCGACTTCGAGCTCCGCAGAGCCACCGAAGGTGCGAGATGCAGATGTAGTCGTACCTTGGTAGTGTTGTCACTGTTGTCTTGAAAGACACGGCATCAAACCATCTGTCCACCCACGAGTGCTAAATTTGCTAACGGACCGGGGTCGGACCTGGAAGGGATGTAGTAGAGCATGTAGAGCCTGGGAAGGGATGACCGAGGTCACAACGGCGCATCGTTTCTTTATTTAGCTTCTTGGATCAGGCTCTTAGGCTGCTTGGGAACCTGGAGTGCGAATATCTTCTTCGGTCCTCAGTGTTCAAGCGCATCTGTTCCCATTCGGGTTCACGGTTTGTGCAGGAAACAGCATCGAGCTGCTCGCGGATCGGCTCCATCGTGCCGAGGAGACCAGGGCTGACACTCCGAGCCAGATTTCGAGTCGCAGTTGCCGCTGTGGCTTCGGTGAAGTGAGTGTTGCTAAGCGGAGGCTACTGGGCCCAAAGTGATATGCGAAGCGAGATACGCTTTCCGGGACTGCTGTGTGTGTTCGCTTGACTTCGTCGGAGGACGTGCCAGAGTAGCAGGTAGATCATGACACGATCATGTTTACTGAGAAGTTGTACAAGGGATTAACATCGAATGCTTGATTTGGAACTCACAGAGGCTGAGTAGATGACGTCTCAGCCATCCCGCGGGCATGCTGTATTGCATCTAGACCTCGAAGACAGACTCCATCACCTAGTCCAGAGCAGCAGGTAGATCGTTCGAGAGATTTCGAGAGCAAAGGAGAGCGATGTCGACTGTTGAAGCCTCACTTGCAGCACAGGGTGTCTGAAAGGAGCATGGCCTGGATGCTCCAGAAAGACTTCGCCTCGCCCGTCGACGACTGGATCAAATGAGAGCCCTGCAAAGGCAAAGGGATGCAAAGAGAGAGCGGAAGTCGGAAAGCACGTGCCTTTCACCAGGCTCAACGAGTCGCTGGCAGCAGCGGTGCCTCAGGATCAGTGGGAAGACGTGCCGTCGCACGGTTCGGTTGTAGAAGGTTGCGCGGTGGATCCAAGTCTGAGTCAGTCAGAGCCATCGCATGGCATTCCGCAATTTGACACGTCTCCGCTTGCATCGCGCGCGAGGAAATCCGAGAAGCGATCGCCGGCTGCATGGAAGCGTTCCTTGGCAGAACACGACACGGCCGGCCGCCGGACCGAGCAACAGCACACAATCCGAGTTAAGAAGTCTTGCGAGAGTGCATGTCCTCATGAGCACTGATATCGCTGTTGCACAGAAAGCCTCTGCCCTGTTACTAGTACAGTATCGGGTTCTGTTCCACTGCGTGGGCCTAGGCAGCTGGAGCCCGAGCAGCCGGTGGTCGTTGCAGCCCAGGCCCGGCTGGACTTTCTCCAGGCAACGGCGGATTTGGCAGAGGCGAGCCTTAACTTCGTGCCTCGGCCTTCAGAGCCACCGCCGAGCATTTCCGAGCAATCGGAAGAAGACGTGTGCCGCGCAGTCCATTCTACTTGGTAACTGAACTGAGGATGCCGATGCACTCCAACTTGCTCTGGAGGACGGCGGGCTTTGAGCATGGATCAGAAGTCTGTTTGTTATCTGACGTTTAGAAAACCTTTCGATTAGAAAACCATTCGCTCTCTCTACAAGGTTTCCATGATCTGCCTCTGAAGTTGGGCCTTTGTGGTTGACTTGCCTACTGCTCACATTCGTGGCTCAGCATGCCCTCAACGAGACGGGACCTGCTTTTGGAGCCAGCGGACCGCATTAAGTGGCATCCTTCCGCAAATGCATCTTTGTATGCATCTACGGCACGGCTGATCACAGGAGGCACGGCGCTTCGACATAGATGCAGCGCGGCTGAGTGCGGCAGAGGCCGGCAGGGCCGCAGACAAGATTGAAAGATATCGAAAGCAATGCGCTATGCAGGCTGTATGTGGTGAGATGCTGTGTCGGTTGCTCGTGCAAGTTGTGCCAGCTTCAGTTCAGCTGGGCTGATTTGTGTTGTCTCGGTAGAGGAAGTAGTAGCGACCTTCCTCTCCCTTTTTTCTCGCCCTCAACGCCAGGACCTCCTTGCAGAGCTCAGTGTGATGTGCGCCGAAGGTCACAGGCTTCAAAGCAGCTTGGAAATTTTAGAACACGAGTTCAGACGTTCGGATCAAGAAATGACCGGAAATGGCACTGAGTACAGCAGACGCCTCAGCTGCCACTAAGTCACCAAGGATTGCGCGGGAAGGTTCCGCCTTGTGCTTGCCAGGGCTGCTACGCGCAATCAGATGCCAAGGCTTTTGTCAAACTTGTCGAGTGATTGTTGCTCCAAGGTTGGCTGCACCTGAGACTTGTGTAGCTTGTGCTTGCCGTGTGCTCTTGCTCTTTGTAGGTTTCTGACCGCTTTGTGTTTCGTAGCTGGGCCGCTGGGGCGCTAGGCCGCCGTGTGCCACAGCAGCCCTGAGGCATTGACGTGGTCGCGCTGCGAGCCGTGCGACTACGCTCTGTGCCACCACTGCGTTGCTTGGCGCGCCAAGGGCCGGCGGCGATTTTTGGAGCTCACCGAGACCACCGAGGCCGAGGCAGATTCTCCGGCGGAGGCCGAGGCCACCAGGACGTCCTTGGGCGCGGGGTCCGCGGAAGCCCCGTCGTCGCTTGAGGCACCCGAACTGCCGGGAGCGGTGGGAGCGGCGGGAGCGGTTGCATCGGAAGACTCATCTCCGGTCTTCTCACTTGGCCTTGACGAGGCTGATCACCGGAAGTGGTTTGACTGCTGGGCTTCACGCATGAATGCGCAAAGTGCACAGTGGGAGTTATTTCGTGGAGGCGAGTGGGTTCCATTTGGCATCGGCCTTTGCAACAAACTTACAGCTGCCCTGGGGACAGGCGATAGCACGTTTCGATATGTAGCCACGAACAGGCAGGAACATCTTTTCAACTTTGACATGATGGAGCAAGTCATCGTGGCTACTGGCAAGCGGAGATCTATGCGGCGAGTCCTCTGGGAAATTGAGTTAGACATTGGCTGGGTTCTCGTTGAGGAGGAATTGGCTCTTCAGTTGCAGATGCACGAGGTAAAGGAAGAAATCTCCTTCGAGTATTTTGCGAGAGGAATGAAATACACGATCAACTTCTTCGAGCGCAGTCAGCTTAATTTGGAGCTCGGAACGAAACGGTGCTTACGCAAAGTGGCACTGCAAGATATTGTCCCGAAGATGAGCAGGCAGCAGCTGCGAATGGCCTTGGAGGACGACTTTCCAAAGTTTGCTTGCGCGACTCGCCAGTGGATCATGATACGATGGCCATGGCAAATGATCGGGGACTGCAGTATCGACGCATGTCAGTTCGTGGAGACTGGCTTGGCTGATGAGATTGCATCAGGGCTTGCAGGCATGCAGGAAGGCGTCCCGCAGCTAGGAGGCATTCTTCAGAATATTCTTTGGTTCGACTACGTGGACGATGTCAAGAGGGAGCGGTTGACACAAACACAGGCCAGCGCAACGAAAGTGGGAAGTGCCGGGTGGATGCCCAACAGATGTGCGCTCCTGTACTGGCCTAGGTGGTCAACGCGATCACCCAGGACTCTCGATGGCGATGGGGCCACGCAGGTTCCTCTTAGCAAGATTAATTACTTAGAGGCATCGTCGCTTCGTAGTGGTAGTCTGCATAGGTAACCACCGCCGTGAGGCTTCCAGTTGTGCGAGTGAGTAGCAAATCGTGCAACTCGAGGGAAGTCTCTTCACGCTCCCGCCACTCCCAACCTCGTTGAGCCAAGGTGCGGAGGATGCTGTCAGCGCGCTTTGGGTCGATCTAGGGCTCGTGGCCACCGAGCCCGTGAGCAAGCTGGAGTGTCTGGTTGCAGGTGCCCAGGTTTCAGCACACCCCTGAACACGTGCCCGCTCCAATATGTTGTCGGAACCCATAGCAGAACAGAAAGGCCATAGAATGTCTTTGCGGCAACTCACAGATTCCATTTTTTGTCGGAGGATCGCGCTCACAGCATGCTGATGTGATTTTTATTTATTCCTGTCAGATTGAGGTGGCTTAGCTGACGAGCTGGCAAATGCTTTGACTTCGAGCTCGGCTACTGTGGATGACTGGATCATGGAAAATAAGCAGCCGCTTTGGGAAGGTTGGAGAAATTGAGCTCCAGAAATGCCGTTTGTTATCTGGCTTTTTTCCATGAGCAGGTCAAGACTGCGCACTTTGCTATTGCGCCATCGGCCAGACCGATGCCGGCCGGCGAATGCGCTGTGGATGTTGGCTTCATTTTGAGTGCCTCGGTCATGGACTGAAGGCAAGGCCGCAACTGGCATCCCAGAGAAGAGAGGCTTGGGCTTGGGCCTGGAGGTGCTCATAAAGGAGCACACCGTGGACGACGAGCGCATGAGCACCTGCCCCGCAGCATGTGGCCGGCTCCTCGCCTGCAGACTATGCAGCGACTAGCAGCCTGGGGCCTAGCTAGCATCGCAAGTGCAAGTGCCGCAAGTGCAGCTGCCAACACTGGTCGAGACCGATCTGCGGCCTAAGGCCACTGGGACGCATCATGCCACCCGGCGTGATTCACAGAGCCGTCGGCGACGAGCTCTTTGCCAAGAAGCCTGCCTGAAAAGACTGCCTCGTTATTTAGGGAACTTGGCGTTTGCCAGTCGACAGCGTACCCGTGTGGATATCTCAATGCATGTTTGCAGCCTGCAGGTATTTGGATTTGCGTGTAGAGGTCCAGTGGCAGAAGGAAGCAATGGACTCGGGAAAACTGGTGGCGAAATGTCCTGGCTGCAGCTTCCTGGTTCTCTGCAACGAGCTTGAGGAACCGATCGCGTCCTTGTGGCACTGCTCGTCCAGTCGCCTGCATTCAGAGCCATGCTTTCACTTTCTGGGTAACTGCAGGAGATGAGCTCCATCAAGTGCCTGCGGAAAGGTCCCATAGAATTTGTGTTTGCCTTTGTGCATTCATCCAACTCAAGTCTCATCCTGAACGCGAGGCTGCATCGTGGATCGCTTTTGTGCGTTCTGTGCTTGCCTGAGATCACGGCACAGGATCTGATTGTCAGCAGATTGTGCCCACATGTTCGAGACTTGTAGAGCATGGCGATGTGGCTTCTGCCTTCATGTTTGTTTCGTCGCCATATCATCTGTCCGACTTTGATTGAAGAGGTGGTATGGCGCCTCATCGGCCCTGGACATGCAAAGAGCGTGCGCTTCAGGACGCCGTGCCGCAGGCAGCCCGCCATGGCCGAATAGATAATTCCAGCGTCTCACAGATTTTGTTTAAATCTAACCTAACTGTTGTGCAGGGTCGTAGGTGTTGCTGCGCCCCCTGGAAACTTGAGAATCAATCTGGAGCAGTGTGGACAGTGTGAGGCACGCAAAAGAATCGAAGAGGCGCTCGTGGAAGCACTGCACAGAAGGTGTCCCGGATGTGCAGTGCCTACGGAACGGACGGACGCATGCTGCCATATGACTTGTTCCCACTGCAGAACAGAATTTAGTTGGGTATGTGGCATGAAGTATGGCTACTGCCGTGCGAACCATCCGTGCTTGAATGGCGCTATCTATTTGCACGCGATGCCGCAGCTCGTTTCCATCTTGCGAGAGCGTCGGCTGGAAGCATCGGATCGCAACGGCAGCGACCTCTTTCTGGAGTTGCGCTGCATCTACTTGCTCTCGCAAGTCCGGGCGGAAGTGGGCAAAGACGCCTGGACGAGAACGCGTCTGAGCCTCTGAAGTCTGAAAAGAAGAGTCATGTCGACCTATCATGCGGTGCAATGTCGTCAGACCCACTGCTGATGCTTAATGTAAGAATTCCGATGAGTACTGCAGTCCGAAGAGGCTCCTCCTCTCGGTTGTTTGTGTGCCACCCCTCTCCAAAAGCTTATCATTGAGGCATCTTGCGGCGAATGTGCCTGCCTTGTGTCTGTAAACCTAGCGGACCCTGAACAGAATTGATGTTCCAAGTCTAAATGCATCGGCACCCCTTTTTCGAGTGTCAGTCGGTCAGTCGATCCTTCTATGCATTGCACCTTTAAAGTGCGAGCCGCAGGCAAAGTTGCAAAGTCAGACCCGCATCGCAGTTCTTCATTAATTATATAGTGTAGTCTGACCAGTCAAAAAGCAATCCGAACCGAGAGACCTCATCTGGCGCAGTCCGAGTTGCGAGAGCATGATTATGTAGGCAGCCGGCCACAGCAATCCAAAATCTGGTGCTGTGGGGGCATGGAGAGGCTTAACGGAGAAGCGTGACGGTCTCTGTACTATGAGGTGTGGAGCATCCCGAACTTCTCACGGATGTGATCCGGAGTTCATGGAGCATTCCTTGGAATGAAATTGGGAATGTGCGGCGGCTGACGAAACTGCTGCCTTATGCTTTTCCAGCATTTAAGAAGTCGGCCCGGTCCGCCATATGGCTGCACAGCTTTGCATGCACATGCCAGCCAACTTCATTACACTTGTGTCTGCTTGCCCTTGCCCCAAGGACCGTGGCGCTGAGGTGAAGCCCCGGCTGCTCTCTGTGTTGGACGACATGATGTGAAGTATCCTGTGGGTCATTTGGTGGGGTGTTCTGTCTTTGGCAAGTAGCAGCGAAGGCGAAGGCGCGGCATAGCCGGCCTGCTGTCGGTTGCTGTAGTCTGACTCCGGTGTCAGCTGGAATCAAAAAGAGACACTTCTTGGGTCTGCGCTGCCAATTTGCTTTTCTTCCTGAATCGGGGTCCTTCGGCAATGTGGCACAACTGATATCTATGACCGACGTATCATCATGACCCTGCTCGTAAAGACTGATCGCCAGGTGTACCCTGAGCATGCTTGGGGGCTCTTCGAGGATGGCCTTGAGAAGGGATGATGCACCACGGTGCTCTCGGCGCTGAAAACAAGGGATACAGGTATTGTCACGGTATTGTCATTGTGTTTCGACGTGATGTTTGAATCCTGGCAGCTGGCCCTCTTCTCGACTCCTGATAGTCTTACCATGGTAGGAGAAGTTGTTGATCTTTTGTTGCCCTGAGCGAAGCTCATAGCAACATCGTTGCTCCAAAAGCTGCATGGAGTACCCATCAAGACTTCGGAAGCCATGATAAAGTATCACAGTCATGCAAGGGTTCTCGTAGCTGTCCAGTAGTCGTGATGGTTACTCCGACGGCATGTTTCGCTAGCAGCAAGAAACCGCCCAGTTGAAAATTGAGAGAAACCGCTTTGCCTGGAGGACATTCAGGTGTGTGGGCCTACCGTTGCGTGGTGTAGTAATTGCTGGGAATTCTCGAATTGCGTCATCGCAGCATGGACGAGCAAGCCCTCAGTATTGGACACTCACCTTAATATCCATGTCCTGGACGTGCATCTATACGGTCTATACATGTGTAGAGACACATAGTACACATACATGTACATATGTGTACAAACATGCGCACGTACATGCATACTTACAAGCAAGCATATTAACATAACAAACAAACATAAGTAAAACACACAGACACCCGTACACACATACCCAGACATACATACATCCGTACATCCACACATACATACATACACACACACACACACACACGTATTTACATGTATCTTTTTGTGCATATATATATATATATACATATGTATATATATATATATATATATGCTCAAAGGGTTGTCCTATAGCCCCAAAACCTCGTCTGACTTGTCGAGCACGGGTGACAAACATGTATGTAAGTAAGTATGTATGTATGTATGTATATGTATGTAGTAATTGGCAGATTTATCTGGTCCTTTACTTCTCAGATTTCTCAGTCTCTGCATTGGAGCTCCGAACCTGCTGATGCTCGAACCCGTGTGCTTCCACCAGAGGTGTTTGTGTGAGTAGTGCATCGTTTTCAGTCTCGGTTTTCTTTGTAAGGTGTAGAACATGTCCGACAAGCAATACTTTGCTGGAGCTGACTTGCTTGCTGAAGACTCTGGCATGCCTGGCTTGTGATCTCTTTGCGACGTTCATTTTGGAAGGTGAGCAGACAAACCAGGGGTTCCCCACAGGCCACAGTGCCACAGGGTGGGTGAAGAATAGCTCATCAAAATCTCCAGGGTGGAGAGCCCAGCAATAAGTAAGGGTCGAGTTGAATCGCATGCCTCCGGTTCCTTCTGGACGACCCCTGTCTTTCTTAGCTCAAACAAGAGGACCTCAGGGTTCGAGTCAAACCTAAACGATCATGAACTTCGACTTGGTTCCAACGTTCAGACAAACTCAGGACCAGCAAGAGAAACACAGCAGCACGTAGCTCACTTCCGTGCACTCATGCTGCACGATGTCGCGCCTGGTTGTGATCTCGGTGCTTCCGTGTGTGGTCCTGCACACAGAGAGGTGGTGAGAGCCTTCGTACAAGGTCCAGGATGCCCACCTCGAGCCAGGCCCTTCTCGGCTCCGCTCCATTTACATCTTTGCACCCGATGAAACCGAAGTGACACCAAGCTCGAAGCCGAAGCCTTCCTAGTATAAGAAGGAGAGGAATGAGTCGTCAATGATCCTATGTCACGCTGAGGTCTTATGTCTACGTCTTGAAAGTAGACCTCTGTCAAGTCCAGTGTTTCTCTCTTGGCTGTGAGCTGTTTGTGTGCAAAGTGCCGTCGAGCCAGGTCTGGAACCACACGTGAGCCCTCCCCGGCTCCACGGCTGGAGCGGCTTGGATGCGCTTCCATGACATTAACCGAGCGCCAATGCCACCGAGAACGTTCCGTGCTACGTCCCAACTCTAATGCCAAGAGTCTAGACATCCATGCAACTGCTTCCGGTGTGCACTGGCCATTCATGCAGACACCGCGTCGAGGCTCCCTATTGCACCTCGACGCTCTTCCTCGTGCGGCTCTGATTACGTCGAACGTTTGGTGGGAGTGTTTGTCGAACCACATTGGAGACTCGTCCACTCAGACTCAAGTGACCCGTGTGTGAGCAGTTGGGTGTAGCTTCGAACCACTGTGGAATGCTGCAGCTGTTCCTTGCTTAAGCGCGATCCACCTGCCTGTTTCTGAGAGCTGCTGCAGGCCTCCTGTTTCTGAAATCCGGACTAGCTGACTAAGTTCATCCGCTGCAGACTGATCTCGGTCTTGGCACCGCCCTTCAGAGACCTTCTTTCATCTCTGACTGTGGCGGCAGGCAGGCATCCATGGCTCCTTGGACCCGGCCTTAGCACGTAATTAGCAGTGTGACTTAGTTCTTGCGGCCGAGTCTCAGGTGGCGGTCCGCACTCCTGGCTTCTTTGGCTCTCGCCAAGCCCGAAGATGATGCGGCACGACTCGCAGAGCCGGGGCTCTGAGCTTTGACAACTTCAGAAGCTCCAGCCCGAAATGCGCAGGAGGGTTTAGGGCTTAGGGTGGCATTTGCACGAGCAGGGAGTTCTGCAATGCTGGCTTGGGTGTTCCTGAGGCTCGGAGTGGCCTCCATCCTGAGCCTCAGCTGCTGTTTGCACGTCACCATTGTATAAATCGCCATTTGGCAGGGTGTCAGAACAAACTGAGTGCTGAACGAGTGTAGATCTCAGATAAGTCTAGATTCTAGATGCAGTTGCGTGATCTTGTGTCAGTGCCTGCAAACCGTTTTGTTTGTGGTCTTGCAAGCTTCGCTCTTTGAGGCAGTTCGCGCCTGATGCTGCCGATGTAGAGGGTGCAGGCCCTTCCTCATCGGAGCATTCACAGTCTTTCAGTCTTTGCGATGCGGCAGGCTCTGCAACGCCTGGAAAACCAGCCTATCCCTCAAAGGCAAAGTTGCCATATGCTTGGAAAACAAATTGTCCAGGTGCCTCAAGGTCCCAAAACCAATAGCAGCAATAGCAACACCTGAACCCACAGAACGCTCAGGTGGTGATGATGCACGGCATGGGTGACTTTGCGAATAATCCAATGGGCATGGTTCCGTTGCGGAAGCTCATTGCGCAGGCTGGCTGGTGTTGTGCAGCAGAGCCAAAGCATTCAAGGATACTTGCAGGCTGCAGGTTAGACTGGTGGCTCTCTCGATTGCAGCTGGTTCCCAGATCTCCCTGAAATCCCGACTCTAGCCGCAAAAAATTTGCCTGCTTGTTTGCAACCCTGAGACCGCCAATGCCCACGTGCACAGCGTGGAATTGTGCTCGAGTCCTTCGAAGCTTTCCGGCTGCGACTCAGAGGACCTCCCGCTTGCTGCCCGTGCAGCGATCTTCTCACTCTTCTCGTCCATGTGGCATCGTGCTGCTTGCATCTGGCAGCCGTCCTAGACATGGCTCAAGCCTGGAGAGTGCATCACTAGGCCACTAGGCACTTTTCCCTGCTTGCTGGCGGCGATGGGCACAAGCCCCAGGACCATGCAGGCACGGGGGGAGCAGGCTTGTGCTTGTTCCGCTCCTCGAGAAGCCGATCCCTGGTGGACGCCAGGTCCACTGCTGCGCTGTTCGTCTTTGTGCTCTGGTCTACTTCTTTGCCTTCTTGGGGCACCGTGGCCAAAAGGGTGCTAGCATGCGCCGCATCTAGAATATCGCTTGGCTTCTAGATGCCTATGGCATCACGGCATCAGCCGCCTTGCCAACGGTTGCATGCCTCAAACACGAATACCCCACATGGAATCCTTCCAGAACAGTTGTGAGCTGTGCCAAATGCCGAGGAATGTGGTGGACGGGCCCATCATGTGGAAGCTCGAAGCTCCGGCTGGGTACACGTCTGGGCTTTTAGTCCGCCTGAACGAGATCGCCCTCATTCCGGCAGTGCTGGTGTTCTTGAGGCACGGCGGCTGCCCTGTGAGACTTCCTTCGATGTCACAGTTTGATGCGGGATCTTGCTGCATGTCATTCCATGTCATTTCGCTCTGCTTGCATTCAGGCCCTGGTGGTGGCCAGCACTTCTTGTTTGCTGGAAGATCTGGCACGACACAACCCGTGCTGGTGGATCCAGAGCTACTGTTCCGTCATTCTTGACACGTTCACGACAACCTTTAAGAGCAGTGTAGCTACGGCACGATTTATCAGGGCTTTGCATGATGCACCTTCGCCATAGTGGAACCTGCAACAGAGTCCGAAAGCCTCGCAGGTGGATTTTGGTTTTTCTTCGGATGGGACCAGATGATGGATGAAATCGGCTTCCTCAGCTGCCTCTTGTCCGTGACCCTCACATTGTACGACCATGATGGTCAGGCTCGGGCTGAGTTGCTGGATTGCGGGTACAGCCCTGGTGATTAGCTGTCGCAGCAATGGTTCTTCTTGCCAGGCGGAAGACAACCAACAGCCCAGCACATCTTCGTCGGGCTCCAGTGGTCCAGCAGAGCACGCAACGCCTGGACAGCAGGAGGCTGAATGAAAAGATCACGCAACTGCATAAAATCAAGACCGGTTCCGTTGCACATTTGCAGGAGCGCGAGCCCGTATTGCAAGCCGAGAAGGCGCAATGCCTTCCAAATTGCAGGACATAGAGTTTTTCAGCATCGCTGAGTAGAGCATCAATCCCTTGCTCAGATTTCCTACATTCAGCATCGCAGCCTCTGCCAGGCCGAGAGCAGCCCCACCTTGCGCAGCCGCAGGCCAGCGAGCGAGCGTGCAGGCAAAGCCG